TATATTAATTTATTTTATGTTGTATAAAAAAATCATATTCCTCTTTCATGTTAACGTAAAATTAGTCTAAGATATATTTTTTTTACAAAAAGCTTTGTCTACTAAAAGCATATCAATTTTTTCTTTTACTAACAACCTTCGTCAGCCTGCTTTTTATCTTGTGCATCATATATACCAATCCTTAGAGGTAGTTAACGTCTTCATTGATATTTGATCTACCAAGCTCGAAAGCCAATCAGGCAAGACAATTATCCAAGTTCACGAAACATATATATTTATGTTAGTGCAACTAACTTCATAGATTTGTTTTTAATTTAGACTACACCATCATCAATTCTTAGATTTTATTTTTTATTTTTTTTTAATTTTCTTTTATGTCATATAAAATATCATGTATAGGCAAGCTTCTATTCGAAAAATATGCCTTCCTTCTTAAAGGTTCTACTAGTAATTTTTTACCAAAATTAAGTTTCACCTTCCAAAATTATAGCAACTTTGAACCACCCTCCATGTTCCAGTATTTTTCTTGAATTTAGTGTTCTGCAAATACCCTTGATAAAAAATAATAATGGCATGCTGAGAGTATATGTATATAATTAATACTATATGATTCCTATGTTTCCTCTATTTTATATTACTTGATCTCTATTATTAATTACGCATATATCTTTCAATTTAAAAAAAAATAGATTTATGTTTTATTAAATTAATTTTATTAATAATACTCTAAAACTTTAAATTTGACTACTACTTCTTTATGTAATTGTTTAATACTATAGATAATATAAAAAAATATGATAAAACTTTTTAAATTTACTAAAGCGAATAAATAACATGAAATACTTGTTTTTTTTAATATAAGAGGCCATTAAAATAAAAGGCTTAAAGTAAAGTATATTACTAGTATATATAGACTATATATATCAACTACTTTTGAAATTTATGCTCTAATAATTTCTACCTTTTAGAAGATCTAGAACAAAGAATTCAAATGTATGATACTTTACACTGCAATTATATATGACGAAGACACATCTAGTCTGAACACACTGCAATTTTTTTGCTTATGAACTTCTCTTTAAGAATTAGTCAACACATATATGGAACAATAAATAGATTCGATTTTATTTTATTTTTAAATAAAGGATAACATACTCAATTAAAACTTGTTTTCTTCTCCTTCTTAAATAATTCACGTTAAATTGACTTTGAGTTCGAGAAGAGTTCTCCAACTACCTAAGGAGTTTAGTTTTCTAGTTTATTCGTGAAAAATAAGAATTAATTATATAGAAGTTCCTGATCTAGTTCAAGTAGGTAGCTTCAAACCGATAATCATATATATATATATATATGTTAATAATTTTTAAAATCAAACAATGATTAAAAAGAGTCATAAATGTGAGTTCTCTACGTATTACTCCTTCAATTAAACATAACAGCACATTTTGAGTGGAAAATGGAGAGACACTATGAGTATGTGAGTTGATCTTAATTACTTCATCAAAAGATTAAAGAAATAAATAAAACATTTCTTAGTAGGCATTTTGGATATGTTTGTTATGATTTCAATGAGGTTTTGAATATACGATTCGTGATCATGATTTCATGATTCAAATACATTTTAAAAAAAAATCATCATTTAAATTCTATATCGTGATTTTAATTTTTTTAAAATGTAAAAATTTATCCATAAATTTATAATCATCATTTTAAATTGTGCAAAAAAGACTTATGTTCTACATGAAAAGATTATTTGTATCATGTGAAATGTTTATATTAAAGAATAACTAATTACTACTATTGTTGGCCAGTATATTTTTATAAAATCATATGAATTCAAAATTTGTCACCGTGAACGATAAAATATATAATTATTATGTAAACACACTTTAAACATATGTATGTCCTTGTGCTGTCGATCAACATAGAATAGAGAATTGTAAAATACGCACGTTTGTCAAGAACAGTAATCAAAGATTTGGCACAAGATGACCAATTTTAGCCAAGGATTTTTTAAAATTAATTACGTAATGTAACAGATAATCTTAGTGGGATAACACCAGTAATAAAATCTATTAAATGCGACTCATCGACCGACCGTTATCACTTTGAATTGACGAGAGGGAGTTGCTCGGATGGTAAGCCCCTCACTTTCAATCTGAATGTTGCGAGTTTGAGTCACCAAGGGAGCAAAAGAAGTGGGAGCTCCTAGGGAGGGTAAAAAAAAAAAGTTATCACTTCGAATTCATATTGTGTTAATATTAATTTCTCGATTATTATTCGACTTTCATTATATCACTGTTAACTTAATTTTCATTTACGTATCTCTGAAAGTTAATATTAAATTATTTTTTATAATAAAAAAAATCCTTCAACTTTATTTAAGAAGTATCGTATAAAAACTTATGTTTTAGTTTTTTTTTTCTAGTAACTTGAAGCGATATTCAAGCAAATTTGTGTGAATTTAAATATTTTTTTACGATTAATCAAACATTTAATCCATTTGTCACTTCAATCAGGGACGTAATTTCAGACTAAAGTCATGCGCATTTGCAGAAACGGGAAAGTGAACAAAATCAAGACCAGGACTTAATAATTTAGTCAAATTTTAAGAAATCAAACTATTTGTGATATATATTAACACTGTCCACGAATTCAAAAATGCTTCTAAATTGTTTTTTTGTCCTTATAATAATTTATCGCTAATTAACAATAACAATCATATTTCAATCTCAGTTAAATTTGAGATTAATTATCGTTTATAACTGATTTAACAATATTATTAGGTAGAACACATTCAAATTTGTACAATGTGGATTACTGTGCATAATTTGCACATCAAACAACACTAAGCCTTACCTATTGTGTACTTTTGAAGTCTTAACTAATAATTAGTCGTTGCTAAGTTTGTACCTATGTGTTATGAAGTCTTAATTAATAATTAGTCGTTGCTAAGTTTGCACATATGTGTTTTGATGTCTTAATTAGTCGTTGCTAAGTTTAACTATCTTCAAGACCACGACAGTATTTTGGATCAAAATTCAATTTAATCGACGACCACGTAATTTTAAAGCTAAATCTGAATATAATGGTGATCATTTATGGAGAAAAAATTGACAGTGAGATCATTGGTTATTACCTACTTTAGTGTTTAATTCAACTTATAATGTTGTTAGTCAATCTGATCAATAAGTAACGCAAGTAAAATTTTGTTTTACTTATTTCTTATCTATCTAAGTTTTTAATCTGTCCACATGCATTTCCGCGTGCCAATTATTAAGTGATACTATTAACGGTTTATTCAATTTTTATAATTCTAGTGATCACTCACAATTAATATGTATTATATAAGAAAATCATTTTTCCCTTTTATTCTAATTTTCTTCCAAAAAAGTGTTTTTTGGGATAATAATTACTATCCGTCCACTAAACTAAAAATATATTGTTACTTTTACTTGTCCAATTTGAAATATCAAGAGATAGTTTATCACTTAGTTTCTATTTTACCCTTGTTATTAATTATAATCATTTCACAATGCATTAGGCAAAACATTAAATTTATTATATTAAAAAATATATATAATAAACTTATTATTTTATTAATTATTTCTTAAAAAATATGTCAAATCAAATATAAACAAATAAAAATAAACGAATAAAATATTAATTGAATGACCAAATCAACTCTCAAATAACAAAGCTGTTAACTTTTTTCATTTCAAACTGAAATATAAGTAAATTATTATTATTATTATCATCAAGTACTCCTAGGTTGACTAATTCATTTTATTTTCCCTCTTTCTTCTTCTTGTTCAATTTTTTGTGCTTTTGTCTCTAATATTTGCCACTTGATCCAAGAACGATGCCAACGTGTGAATATTAATTACTAATATTGAAGGACCAATTCAATAATACATTTCCAAGCTAAAAATTAAATTTCCTTGAAATTTCAAGTTCAACCATATGTGAATTATTAGGTCGTTTATTACCATCAAATGTTGTATTTTCTACCAGAAATTGTATGCCAGAACAAGTCCTAAATAGAATCATATTATTAATAAATATGGTAGAAAAATAGTTCCTAATCGTTTTTGAAATAATTAATTATAATCAAATCATATATAAGTTATAACCCATCTTCTTCCTCATATTTCATGGTTCTAATTCAAATTATTTTTGGACCTTTAAATCTCCCCTAGCCTAGAAAATATGTATAACATAACCATATACGTGCTTACGGATTAAAGGTTTTCTTTCAGAAAATAAACTTGAAAAATTATATCTCCAGCCTAAATTTTTTCATCAGATACAAACAAAGACATGAGCAAGATTTGTAATTTATGAATTTTAGCAATGACTTTAAATTAATATACAATATAACTGATTCACTAAATTTCCGTAAATCATTACATTACACACTTGATTCCCCTCAAGATACACACACAATCATTATTAAATTATCCGAATTGTGACTCTAAATTATAAATTTTATATTTAGAAAAATCCGCGGGTGGGTCGTTGCGGCGAATCTAGTTTAATTAATTGATAATAACATTAGTCTTAAAATAATTATTTGAAGGAAAATAATTAAAAGGTTATATAAAGCCATGCAATGTACCGGTGAAATAATGAAGTAGTATTACATAAAACATTTTTCTTTGGTCAAACAAAGACCAGCTTCATTTTCCTAGCTCCCTCCTTTTTTATTTTCTTTTTCTTATTTAAAAAATGCGGCGTCCTTTTGCCATTATATATAAACCCCAAAGTTGAACGCCTTATTGTAGAAGAGAATTAAGGCATTACGACCACTTCTGAGTTCTGTTTGGAAGAAGAAATCCTAAATCTTTTATTTGTTTATTGAATTTTAGTCTATGATCTGAAAATCCAAATTAGATTACTTTTGTTATCTTTTTCCTTTTGGTATCCATATCTACTACTGGAATTTCAAATTCGAATTCCATTCATTCATTTCTTTTTTCCACGAAGAAACTATTGTAGCGATGCAAAATTCGGAAAATCATCACCCGCACCATCACCATCACCACTCGGATACGGAGGTTATAGGGAATGATAGAGCGTCGTACAGCGGTCCTTTAAGCGGACCGCTGAACAAACGAGGAGGAAAAAAGAGCGCGAGGTTTAACATACCGGAATCTACTGACATCGGAACTAGTGCCGGAGCCGGCGCCAAGTCCAATGACGATGCTTATGTGGAAATCACTCTCGATGTTCGTGAAGACTCTGTGGCTGTCCACAGTGTCAAAACTGCCGGCGGTGCTGACGTGGAAGATCCGGAGTTGGCTTTATTGGCTAAAGGTTTGGAGAAGAAATCTACCTTGGGAGCTTCACTTGTCCGAAATGCTTCTTCGAGAATCCGGCAAGTGTCTCAAGAGCTCAAGCGATTGGCTTCCTTAAATAAGCGCCCAACTCCTACTGGAAGGTTCGATAGGAATAAATCAGCTGCTGCTCATGCTCTTAAAGGTCTCAAGTTCATCAGCAAAACTGACGGTGGCGCTGGATGGGCCGCCGTCGAGAAGCGGTTCGATGAGATTACTGCTCCAACTACTGGCTTGCTTCCCCGGGCCAAATTTGGAGAATGCATAGGTAAATTAAATGAATTATAGTCACAACAAACAGTTATTTCGTGCTGAATACTTCATTTTAGTGTTACTTTTCGTGTAGTTTTACTTTTCTTCAGCTTGTTAAAATGGAAAATGAAAATGAATTGTTTTTGAATGTTAGGTATGAATAAGGAGTCTAAGGAATTTGCTGGAGAGCTATATGATGCGCTTGCTCGAAGGAGAAACATCACAACTGATTCCATTAACAAAGCACAGCTCAAAGAGTTCTGGGACCAAGTTGCAGATCAAAGTTTTGATACTCGACTTCAGACCTTCTTTGACATGTAAGGGTTAATTATTAGTTAAAGTTCAACATTTATCCCATAAATTAAGCATCTCAGATTCAATCGATTCAGATCTAAATCGTGTGATGAATTTAATTTATACAGGGTTGATAAAGATGCTGATGGTAGAATCACAGAAGAAGAAGTCAGAGAGGTATTTCTGAATTCTGATTTTTTTATTCTTTTATTGTACGTCAGAAACTCGGAATGGCATTGACAAAGTCTATCATATATTATATTTTTTTTCTAAAATTTGTTTTGCGATTTGCAGATTATAGGCCTTAGTGCATCTGCCAACAGGCTGTCAACTATCCAGAAACAATCTGATGAATATGCGGCAATGATCATGGAAGAGTTGGATCCTAATAACCTGGGATACATTATGGTAAGTAAGAGGCATTAATTAGACTAATAGTAAGCTTAAAATTATAGTATTAAATTGAAAATTAACTGTTGATGCTATGATATTCAACAGATTGAGAACTTGGAAATGCTTTTACTGCAAGCACCAAATCAATCGGTGCAGAGAGGAGGCGAAAGCCGGAACTTGAGTCAGATGCTAAGTCAGAAACTTAAGCACACACAAGAGCCAAATCCATTAGTGAGATGGTATAGGAGTTTTATGTACTTTTTGCTGGATAATTGGCAAAGAGTTTGGGTATTGTTGTTGTGGATTGGAATTATGGCTGGTCTATTTACTTGGAAGTATATTCAGTATAAACAAAAAGCTGCATATGATGTTATGGGTCCCTGTGTGTGTCTTGCTAAGGGTGCTGCTGAGACAATCAAGCTCAACATGGCTATCATTTTACTCCCAGTTTGCAGAAACACAATCACCTGGCTTCGTAACAAGACCAGATTAGGTTCTGCTGTTCCTTTTGATGATAATCTCAATTTTCACAAAGTAAGTTTTGATTACTCCTTGATTTCCAGAAAACTTAGCCATTTTTTTGTTATAATTAGTACTCTAATTGTGTACAAGTCTAACATCCAAACTATTATTTGCTTTGGTCCAACCTTTGGCGCCTTATAGTACGTCTAGACGGTTAAATTCCTGAGTAGTCGATGGCTCATTACAGGAAACTAATTGGTTCCTTTTCCCCTGTTTAGGTGATAGCAGTTGCGATTGCACTTGGGGTTGCAATACACGGTCTAGCTCATTTAACGTGTGATTTTCCTAAGCTTCTGAATGCTAGTGAAGAAGCATATGAACCAATGATATACTATTTTGGAGAACAGCCCGAAAGCTATTGGTGGTTTGTGAGGGGAGTTGAAGGGGTAACTGGAATTATAATGGTGGTACTAATGGCAATAGCTTTTACACTAGCAACCCCATGGTTTAGAAGGGGCAGAGTCAGTTTACCAAAACCATTTCACAAGCTCACTGGATTCAATGCCTTTTGGTACTCACACCATCTGTTTATCATTGTCTACACTCTACTTATTGTCCATGGAGAAAAGCTATACATTACCAAAGATTGGTACAAGAGATCGGTTAGTAAAATGTTCAAAATCTTTTATTTTCATTTACGTTTCTAAGTTGATGAATGTTTGCTAAAATTTGGATTGATTTTTCATAATTGGCAGACATGGATGTACCTTACTGTTCCACTAGTACTCTATGCTGGTGAAAGGTTGCTTAGAGCATTCAGGTCAAGCATCAAAGCTGTTAAGATTTTGAAGGTAAATCCAATCCGACAAAATGTCGTGCTCTTAATAATTTCAAGAGAAATTTGTATTTTAGTCCCTCAATTATTGATAAATTTTAATTTTAATCCTCATGATATTTACTTTAATATATTTAACCTTCAGTCAGTTGAAAATGTAACTTATGATCCCACTGCTCTTAAATTTCCACAACCAGATAATTTTGGGATAGTAAAATCAATTAAATATAAATAAAGGGACTTACAAAAAGCTTTTTTGTTGATTTAATATCAATCACATTTTATAAGGATTTAAATTAAATTTATTAATAATTAAGGGATCAAAAATGCAATTATCCACACAATCGTGACTTTATATCAATGAAAATGAAAATAGACAAACTAATTGATTGAGAATTTGTAGGTGGCTGTGTATCCAGGAAATGTGTTGGCCCTTCACATGTCAAAACCACAAGGCTACAAATACAAAAGTGGGCAATACATGTTTGTCAACTGTGCTGCGGTTTCACCATTTGAATGGTAGGTGAAACTTTTTTATTTAATTATTAAAATAATGAAATCAACCCATCCATTATTATTTCTCATGTCATAAATTTGACCAAGTCATGAATTTTTGGTATCCTTTAATTACTACGTCTCTGCAGTATTTGCTGACTTGTGGATAAACATTAATGTAAAATTTCAGGCATCCATTTTCCATTACTTCGGCCCCAGGAGATGACCATCTCAGTGTCCATATTAGAACTCTTGGTGATTGGACCAGACAACTTAAAACTGTTTTCTCTGAGGTAATTACTAATTACTAATTAGTCCTTTTAAATATAATTATATATTGTTTTTAAAACTTAAATCCTTAAACCAAAATATCTAGTTAATTAAATAGTGGAGGCATGATTGTCCCACTTTGGATGACAGCTTTAAAAGCCGCCTCTTATATTTTACTTTTTGTCGTTTTTTCTCAAAAAGTAAATGTTAATTCCACTATGTTAGTGTTAATTATTGATCTTCCTGAATTAATTAGTAGTAATTTTTGGTCTTTGTTAGGTTTGCCAGCCACCACCTAATGGGAAAAGTGGACTCCTTAGAGCTGACTACTTGCAAGGAGAGAATAATCCTAAGTAAGTCCTTTTCTATTCTATAATCATCTCCATTGCATTCACCTTTTTGAGCACACTGAAATGCAGAATTAAATTTAAAAAAATTCCCACCTTAAATTCCGGGGATATTATTCTTATAATACAATTTTTTTGATAATTTAATACTGCAAATGTAATTAGTTTAGAACTTAACGTGACCGTGATTGGTCTGGACTGGTACGTATAACAAACTCGTAGTCACTTTTTTCCTAAAGAATCTATACACGTTTTGAATGGACCACTTCTTAAAGTACTACAGGGTTATTATTTTGTGAAATTGCCGGGATAGGGACAAGGAGGGATAAAACAAAACTCAATTATTGCTTGATATTTCTAAGGAAAAAAAAAAAGTAACCATTGCTTGCAAGATATTTTTCTAGTAAAGGATTAATTTTACATATATCTACAATTTTTAATATGCTATAGAAGGTTACTTGTTTTATTTCTCAAATTACAAATTTTTATTATTATACATAATTACTTGGAATTGCGTGAAAAAATATTTGTGAAGAGTCCGAATAACTTTGGTAAAAATTCATATACCTTGTCTTGTGGGTAGAAGATAAACTCTACCATAAAAACACTTAATTATATAGCATAGCTAATGCCTAATGGAAATGATATGTGTTTGGCAGTTTCCCAAGAGTGTTAATAGATGGACCATACGGAGCACCAGCACAAGACTACAAGCAATATGAGGTGGTTTTATTGGTGGGTCTTGGAATTGGAGCCACACCAATGATCAGTATCGTTAAAGACATTGTCAACAACATGAAGGCCATGGACGAAGAAGAAAATTCCTTGGAAAATGGGAACGGGATGTCAAATGCAGCACAAAATGCTAGTCCCAATATGGCACAGAAGAGGGGTAAATCAGGTTCAGCAAGTGGAGGAAATAGCTTCAATACAAGGAGGGCATATTTCTATTGGGTCACAAGAGAACAAGGTTCATTTGACTGGTTCAAAGGTATAATGAATGAAGCTGCTGAAATGGATCATAAGGGAGTAATTGAAATGCACAATTATTGTACAAGTGTTTATGAAGAAGGTGATGCTCGTTCTGCTCTTATTACTATGCTTCAGTCACTTCATCATGCCAAAAGTGGTGTAGACATTGTTTCTGGCACGAGAGTTAAGTCACACTTTGCTAAGCCTAATTGGAGAAACGTCTACAAACGCATTGCTCTCAACCACCCAGAGGCTAAAGTTGGTAAGTACTACTATTAATCAATCTTCTTTCTTTTGACTTTGGTGTCTTTATGTCCTTGTGAGAGTTGAAAAAGCATGTTCAATTGATAAGTTTTTCTTTGTGAAAGCAATTGGCACTAGGGTCATTTTCAAATCCATTTCATGACATATATTGTCGATGGCTAACTCGTTTTCCCTTTTTTGACAATTTGCAGGAGTGTTCTACTGTGGGGCACCGGCACTGACGAAAGAGCTAAAACAACACGCATTGGATTTTTCACACAAGACATCCACCAAGTTTGATTTCCATAAAGAAAATTTTTGATCAACAAATGGACCATTAAACAGACCATCAAAGATCGTCAAAACTGCCACGGACAGTAGTTGTTTTTCTAGAATCCACTACCTCTCCCTATTATGTACAGATAATGTTGCATACCAAGTTGATATATATTAATTGTGGTTGTAATATTAGTATATTACAAAATATAAGATTTTTTTTAAGTATATAGATAAGATGCTGAAGGAATTAAGAATGTTCTCTTGGAGAGGCAGGCAGAAGATAGTGGAGTTGAACCTGTTTTTATGGGTGCCACCCACCACTAAATTGGATTTTACATTATAATTGCATAGAGGAAGGTGGTTGTCATCATTGTTTTTTGTTATTGTTTATTTTTTGTACTCTTTTAGGTGGTGGAAGAGAGAGTCAACTAGCCACCTACTTAGTAATTATTGACCATTATATGTGGATGTTTAATAGTTTCCAGTAATAATTGTATACTAGGCCTTCTTGTATAAAAAAGAGTTATATTGTTTGAATACCAAACTTAATTGCTATAAGATTATTCCTTTTAGTGGCACGTGGATGACAAAATGTTATTATCTACCCCCAAAATAAAATTTTGAAAAATGCAGTGATAATATGAATCTTAAGAATTGCTTGGTTTGCTTTAAAAAAAGTTAGAACCCCAATACTAAGGAGACCGTCTTATTTAATTTGCTTCAATGATAATTGGTACATAAACTATACGAGAAGTGAAAAGATTCGTAAAAAGAAGTAATCCGATTATTCTTACACAAAAACAATATCTCATATGTTTCACTATACCGCTAAGAGGGAAAATGGGGTTTTGGAGTGGGGATGAGGGATAAACCTGAATGAAGACAGTACCCAATAAGTTTCACAAAGTTGAGTCCTCAATACTTTTAAACTATAAGATATTAGAAATGGAAATATCTTTTTGGCCAGAATGATAGTTTTTCTATGTTATTTTAACTTTAAAACATTTTTACCCTTTTAACTTAAATACATTTTAACTAAAATATGGAAAAAAGATCAGTTTGTTTTAAAATAAAAAAAATATTAAAGTTTTTTTAATTTTCTGACCATTTAGCACTTCCCATTAGAAATATTAAACACAGCAAGAAAAAAAAATAATCAGAAATTGATCATTGATCCAACTACCATATATTGACAATGAAAGCAAAATTACAAGATAACGGCGAGAACAATAATATTATACTCCTTCCATTCCATATTAATTGAAATTTTGAGGCATTTTCCATTTTCCAAATTAACTTAATTGTTCAATCTTCAAGACTATTTTTTTAAATATTCTTCCAATTTTACCCTTTATTTGGATTTTCAATGTGATGACTTCAATAAATTTGACAATAATTAATAAGAGTAAAAATGGAAAACTATGTTCAATTTATGTCTTAATCTACTTTTCTTAAAGGGTGTGAAACACCTTAAAAATTTAATTAATATGGAATGGAGGGAGTAACATGACAACAACAACACAGAAGACAATGACAAAAATTACTGCAAGTACAGAATATGAAACATGATACTTAAATTGTTTTACACTAGTGATACACAAAACATTACACTATTTTTTTTGAAATTGTAGCATAAAGAACTTTTCTATCACACTAGCCAATAATGTGGTGCAGTAATGATTGATTGCTCCCCTAAAAGAATATTGAAGCATTGTGCGCTAACTCGGAGTCAACAAAATTCAACCGGAGGACACGCCGGTTTGTTGTTCGATTTAAGATTAAAATTGTAAATTTGAATGTAGTATGATTCTTAAGAGAGTGTATTCAAATTTGAATGCTAACTTATTAAAATTATTTTTCTTTTACTACATTAAATTGTGTATAATTAAATGCACTCAGTGTTGTCCCTTAATCATATACGAAAACGTAATTGGTCATGGGACAGATGGAAGTAAACGGACATTGATAGTGCTTCAACTTGACCTCTAATTTAATTATTTATTTATGACTAAAGAAGTTTAAAAAGAGTGTATATTATCATTAAACCCCGCCACTAGCACAAAGATATACTGGTGAATATAGCGGTACTCCATCCACTAACTTCAAATCATAGATTAGTTGGTCTTTTGACGTCCCACAATATAGAAGCTAAAAGATGGGATACAGGCAGGCTAATAGTAACTTTTCACACACAACCGGTTTGGTGCCGACGGGCACACAAATGCAGAAAATAATAAATTGTAATTTCGAAGGACTTATGTTTTCTACAGCACCACTAAGAATTTCCTGCACTGATGAGTAAAACTCAATAACTGATTATTTATTTATTTGATGGGTGCGAGTGGGCCAAAAGACTATTTTGATGCACCAGGAAAAGGAATCAAGACTGACCAAAACTGAAGAAAAGGAAAAAAAAACTGAAGAGTATGGTGAAAGCTTGCAAACTAGCTAAAAACCATATTTCCACCTAATATTTGAGGAAATAATGCATCACTCTTCATGAAGTAAAAAAGACGAATAAAGAACTCACTAACAAGTCTTTTGGCTTTCTAGTCTAGTCTATCAGAAAAGTCTCTTTACCTCACGCAAGGTAAGGTAAGGTCCGCGTACATCCACCCTCTTCTTGCGTGATTACATCAGAAAAAGAAAAGTCTCTTTACGTCACTCTTCTTGAAGTTAGAAATATGGTTTGATGTACTCATTTTTCAAAATGTAAGGATGCATCAGAATTTAACTAATTGAACTTGTCGTTCCTGAGTTTGGTGTTTCCAGTTCATTTCCCCGGAACAAGTTCATTCTTTATAATGTGTCATTGTCAACTGTCAAAGATTAAGCTACAAAGACCTTTCCCCAGACAAATTCCTTAATCTTTGCTAAATTGTAGCATATATAGTTCAAAGCTCTTCATTTCAAAATCTATTAAGGCATATCACAAGGTATGGTGGTAATCATGACCATCCAGAATTATTAATAGTTCAAGAATGTTAAGATTGAAGTAAAATGTAGAACATCTTATGCACATGATTAGTTATCTTATGAAAAGACAGCATGCTAGAGAGTTAGAGATGCCAAAACAACATAGAACGAGAAGACGGACCTCTGCATACTGAAAGCTTTCTGCTTGAAAAGGATTTTCCTAGTTATCTTTTCCTCTTTAGCCTCTGAAAGTTTGGTTTTATGGGCTGGCTCAAAACAATTACCTGACTGTCAGTATTACTGGGTCCAAAGGGGATCAAAGGCTTCTTTACTGAAGAGATTGACACTGTATGGAAAGTTGACAATGTAGGGGAAGCTGCTTTTCTTTTCAGCTGCTTTGGTATCTCCAGTCTTTCAAGGATTCGTGAAGTTTTGTCATCAAGTTTCCCAGTACTTAGAAGGGGAGATGAAACCTCCTTATGCAACTTCAGCTTGGAGATACAAGTGGGAGAAGACATCTTTGGCATCTCTAATACAACCAGCTGTTCCCATTCTTCTGTAATTTTAGCACCAGTTTCACCATCAGCCAAAATGCTATCCAGCACGTTTTCTTCTATAACCTCCACATCGTTGGCTTGTACTGATAAATCCTCTACCACAGGGTCTTGCAGAGCTGTGTTTGATGCAGTCACCGGTTCTTTAGCCTTAGCAGGTATTGCCCTGAGACAACCTAACTATTAAGATGAAGGTCCATGACCAACCAATGAAAATAACGAAAAGAAGCAATTGACTCAATGCCTACATAATGCTGATGTACACGTGATCATCATGGATGGTGATTAGCGGATGGTGATCAGACTGCTAAGGCTAAAGCTCAGAAGCTAAACTTGTTATAAGAGTTCAAATGAAATTTGCTGCGGATCTTACTAAAAGCAAATAGCTCCTGATCAAAGTAGCTGACTTCTTCCATCTCCTAACACAAACAACTAATAAGATAGGATAGTTCTTTGCGAAGAATTAGTATGGGCTATAGTTTACCCAGATCAGAAGAGTGTAATTAAGGTTAAGGGCTTGAGAAGATGCTAGTTGAACAAATTAGCTACACTGATGCCCTATCAATAACTAAAAAAGGCCACAAGCTCCTAGAACTCAAATGGATGCTGTGAAGTAATCAACAGTACCATCAGCAACTTAGGGCAGCTCTCAATAGACCACCAGAAAACTTTCAGGTCTATTATTGGCAGAAGATGAAAAGGAATGAACTTCAAGAAACAGCCAATGCATATATTGTAAGGCTGAACTGTGAACTATATTGAAAGAACTCTACAGGAGAGAAAAAAAAAAGTTACCCAAATTGTAGGCTCTCTTTGACAAGCAAGTTTAGTCTTTGATGGAAGCCCCTGTCGTGCTGAACTGGATCGTAATTTCTTAATTCGATCTGGAATATAATAACAAAGAGCATCAACTTAAACTGGAGATGTACCAAAATGACTTTCCTCTATGCACCAAGGAAGCACACTCAGCCGTTTCTTTATACCTAGCAAAGTGCAAACACATTAGAGATAGAGCTACATTATCATTAATGACGAGAATGTGAAACAGCAAATACTTCAGAGAAATAAAATTAGATCCAGTTAATGGCGCTTGATGTATTTATAGATGGATGCTACTTCATCTTTGATCTCATGAGTGCATGTAATTTGGCATTGCTCCCAGTAACAAATGAAGAGGCATCGGTAGAATCAACAAAAAGTATAGGAATAGAATATCCCTAATGAAACAGACCTTAAGCAAAGAGGCCTGCAGAGAATTTTCAATATCCTTGCTGACTGGGATGCAAGCAATATTAGTGATGTCAGGGACAGGCAAGACTTCCTCTGATCCAGCAAGCCTCTGCAAATAATTATGCAGTGACATCACAAAATAAAGAGTAGAGAACCATCTAGTAGGATAGCTGGACATATTAAGACAAAAATAATCCAGAGATCGTTGGAACAAAGTAATATTCCCACTGCAGATTATAACGATGGTGACACATTGGACTTCAGTACAACAACAAATCTAGAAGGCAGAGAGGCTTTTCCGATAGACATTGGACTTCAGTGTCAAACAGAAAACACTAGGATA